TATATATATATATATTATATATATTATATATATATATATATTATATATATATACACACACACACAATGTATCACAAAAGTGAGTACACCTCTCACATTCCAGCAGATATTTAAGTTTATCTTTTCATGGGACAACTCTGACAAAATGACACTATGAAAAGTGTTCTGTGTGCAGCTTGTATAACAGTGTAAATTTGTTCTTCCCTCACAATAACTCAATATACAGCCATTAATGTCTAAACCACCGGCAACAAAAGTGAGTACACCCCTAAGAGACTACACCCCTAAATCTTCTGCTTGAGGATGCCCCAAAGATGTTCTCTTGGGATTAGGTCTGGAGACGAGCTTGGCCAGTCCATCACTTTTACCCTCAGCCTCTTCAGTAAAGCAATGGTCGTCTTAGAGATGTTTTTGGGGTCATTATCATGCTGGAACACTGCCTTGTGACCGAGTTTCCGGAGGGAGGGGATCATGCTCTGCTTCAGTATTTCACAGTACATATTGGAGTTCATGCGTCCCTCAATGAAATGTAACTCCCCAACACCTGCTGCACTCATGCAGCCCCAGACCATGGTATTCCCACCACGATGCTTGACTGTAGGCATCACACACTTATCTTTGTACTCCTCACCTGATTGCCGCCACACATGCTTGAGACCATCTGAACCAAACAAATTAATCTGGGTCTCATCAGACCATAGGACATGGTTCCAGTAATCCATGTCCTTTGTCGACATGTCTTCAGCAAACTGTTTGTGGGCTTTCTTGTGTACAGACTTCAGAACAGGCTTCCTTCTGGGATGACAACCATGCTGACCAGTTTGATGTACAAACCGGATTCCAAAAAAGTTGGGACACTAAACAAATTGTGACTAAAAACTAAATGCAATGATGTGGAGGTGCCAGCATCTAATATTTTATTCAGAATAGAACACAAATCACAGATCAAAAGTTTAAACTGAGAGAATGTATCATTTTAAGGGAAAAATCTGTTGTTTCCAAATTTCATGGCATCAACAAATCCCAAAAAAGTTGGGACAAGTCCATTTTTACCACTGTGTGGCATCCCTCCTTCTTCTTACAACACTCAACAGACGTCTGGGGACAGAGGAGACCAGTTTCTCAAGTTTAGAAATAGGAATGCTCTCCCATTCATGTCTAATACAGGCCTCTAACTGTTCAATCGTCTTGGGCCTTCTTTGTCGCACCTTCCTCTTTATGATGCGCCAAATGTTCTCTATAGGTGAAAGATCTGGACTGCAGGCTGGACATTTCAGTACCCGGATCCTTCTCCTACGTAGCCATGATGTTGTGATTGCTGCAGAAAGTGGTCTGGCATTATCGTGCTGAAAAATGCAGGGTCTTCCCTGAAAGAGATGACGTCTAGATGGGAGCATTTGTTGTTCTAGAACCTGAACATAGTTCTCTGCATTAATGGTGCCTTTCCAGACATGCAAGCTGCCCATGCCACAAGCGCTCATGCAACCCCATACCATCAGTGATGCAGGCTTCTGAACGGAGCGTTGATAACAACTTGGGCTATCCTTGTCCTCTCTGGTCTGGATGACATGGTGTCCCAGTGTTCCATAAAGAACTTCAAATCGTGACTCATCTGACCACAGAACAGTCTTCCATTTTGCCACACTCCATTTTAAATGACCCCTGGCCCAGTGCAAACGTCTGAGCTTGTGGAGCTTGCTTAGAAATGGCTTCCTCTTTGCACTGTAGAGTTTCAGCTGGCAACGGCGAATGGCACGGTGCATTGTGTTCACTGACAATGCTTTCTGGAAGTATTCCTGAGCCCATTCTGTTATTTCCTTGACAGTGGCATTCCTGTTTGAGGTGCAGTGATGTTTAAGGGCCCGGAGATCACGAGCATCCAGTAGAGTTTTACGGCCTTGACCCTTACGCACAGCGATTGTTCCAGATTCTCTGAATCTTTTGATGATGTGATACACGGTTGATGATGATAACTTAAAAGTCTTTGCTATTTTACGCTGGGTAACATCATTCTGGTATTGCTGCACTATCTTTCTGCGCAACAATGGTGGAATTGGTGATCCTCTTACCATCTTGGCTTCTGAGAGACACTGACACTCTGAGAAGCTCTTTTTATACCCAATCATGTTGTCAATTGACCTAATTAGTGTTAATTGGTCTTCCAGCTGTTCGTTATATGCTCAATTTCCTTTTGCCAGCCACTTATTGCTACTTGTCCCAACTTTTTTGGGATTTGTTGACACTGTGAAATTTTGAATCAACATATTTTTCCTTTAAAATGTTACATTTATTCAGATTAAACTTTTGATCTGTCATCGATGTTATATTACGAATAAAATATTGGCATTTGCCATCTACATCATTGCATTCAGTTTTTATTCACAATTTGTTTAGTGTCCCAACTTTTTTGGAATCCGGGTTGTGTATATATGTATATATGTATATATATGTATATATACGTATATGTATATATATATGTATATACTCAAATAAACTACTTGCTATTTGTACTACTATCCCTACTTTGTGGTTTTTCACTTATCATGGGGCTTCAGGGTACGGATCCCCCGCAATAAACGAGAGACAACTGTAAAGCTCTAACATAAAATGCGGAAAAAGTGAAGCTCTATTAATCTGTATATATACTGTATATAAAATCCATTAGTTGCATTAAAAAACCAGATTATAGCTACTGATTACAGGAATGTTTTGGTAAAGATAAGATAAGGTATAACTTTACTGATCCTGCAGGAAATAGTTGAAAAACACCTAAAACCTAAAAGTGTGCCGACAGAGTTTCAGCTTGGAGACACCTGAGCAGTAAACTCAAACTGTTGAACCTCTAGAGAATCATTGTCCTTTGTCTCCATTCACCCCTGACTTTAGTTTGAATTGCGTCACATCTCTTACAGCTAACTCTGAAACGTCTTCAACACTTAAAAGCTTCCATTTGGAAAATGTTCACTTCACTAATTACTGTATATGCTTGGGGACGGTACATTCAAAGATCATGGGAACAAAAAAAGGAAGACTGTCTGATCAGAACTTAGTCAGCTGATTCCAGACTGAAGCAGACAGATGGATGTTTTCTAACAAAACATCTGAAAACTGATCTATTTATTTTAATGTTTAAGAGTTCATTGTGTGCATTTATTAAAAAAAAACTAGCTGGATTTGAAATAAGATTATAGACATAAAAAGCTCTGAGCAGTGCATGTACTGAACTAAACCATCAAATAAAATCCCACCAAGACGTCAAAGGTACACTTCAGACTGATTAGAAATTGAACTTCGTCTTCCTTCAAATGGAGACACGGAGCTGTGCTGTGATTTCTGTCTGACCTCTGACCCTGCAGGTATCGGCTGAGCAGCATGCGCAGCTACAACCCTGAGCAGATCATGCTGAGCGCCTCGGTCCGGACGTCCAGCCGGGACGCCAACGTCATGAAGGAGAAGCTCATCTTCTCCGGTAAGAAACCAACATGGTAGATCTCTTCCTCCCAGCATGCATCTGAGTGGACGTGAACATTCTCGTTCCTCTTCCTCATGTTGAAGGTCACCCTCAGTAATGGCCTCCCCCCTCTCCTCCACCATCCTCTGTGTGACGTCCCATCTCCTGACCATCCTACAGCCTCCATCTTCTTGGCCAGCAGTGATCTCTTCCTTCGTTCATTCCTCTCTTCTCATCTTCCACCTCTGTTCTCGTTTCCTTCGATCCATCTCTTCATCCTAATCTTCCTCCTCAAATGTCCCCATGAAGGGGGTGCTGTAGCTGTCCCAGTCTGTCTAGAAAGCCTCTAGTCCCAGGAATAAAAGTAAGTTTGTGCTGAGTGTTGTATTTTTAAAACTGGTGAGATTAAACTGTTCTATGATATACGTTTTAAAATATTTAACTTTAATGATAAAAAAAATTAAAAATTTCCAAATAAATTAACAGAAATGTTTAATTCCTCCAAAATCTTTGTTCTCTTTAAAGGATTTCTGTCCGTTTAGAATAGTGGAACAAGATTCGGTAAACAAGTTAACTATAAAAACAAGGCTAAAAAATGCTGTAGGCTGTTTAGATTTTGAAATGTTTAAAAAAATTTATGACACACAAATGTCACCAATTTATTTATTCTGCAGTGCATTCTGGGTAAATGACGTAGATGGGCTCCTCCGGTAAGAGCTCCATTCAGCTTAACGTCTGACGTCCAGCCCTTTAATTTGTAGCAGAGCGCATTGACAGAGGAGAATGAAGACACGAGTCAGCTTTCACGTTAGCTCCTGAGCTAATATATGTAGCGTTAGCTCCTGAGTAGTATATATAGTGTTAGCTCCTGAGCTAATATATGTAGCGTTAGCTCCTGAGTAGTATATATAGTGTTAGCTCCTGAGCTAATATATGTAGCGTTAGCTTCTGAGCTAATATATGTAGTGTTAGCTCCAGAGTAGTATATATGGCGTTGGCTCCTGAGCTAATATATGTAGCGTTAGCTCTTGAGCTAATATATGTAGCGTTAGCTTCTGAGCTAATATATGTAGTGTTAGCTCCTGAGCTAATTCAATTAATTAAAAAATACTTTATTAATCCCAAAGGCAAATTAAATGTTGTAACTTGTTATCTTCATTTCATTAAGAGATATTATAGATACTGATGGCTGTAGGCAGGAAGGATCTCTTGTAAAGGTCCGTCCCTCAGCGTATCCAAAGAAACTGGCCACAGATGCCATCCGATCCATCCACCCGGACTCGGCTGACCTCTCGGTTCCACTGGGCTACAGGACCGTCCGAATGCTGGGCAGAACTCCTCCCAGAGTGATGGCCACTCCTCCCAGCAGCCTGCCGAGCTCCTCGTTGCTGCGGACAGACAACTGTAGGTGCCGGGGGACGATCCTGGTCCTTCTGCTGTCACAAGCAGTGTTTCCTGCTAGTTCCAGGATCTCAGTGGTCAGGCACTCAAGCACAGCTGACAAGGAGACGGGAATGCATTTATGGCACCTCCTTTTCAACTTATTTGAGATTTGGGGCTGTAGCTGAGATATTATTTGAGCTTTTGAGATGTTAATCAGCAGCTCCCAGTTGTAAAAAAAAAAAAAAAAATCACCTTGTGTTATGCATCATAACAAATGTCCAAAACTAAAAAAGTTTCCATAAAAATCCTTCCAGCTCCATTGTCCCATACCAGAGGAAATAATCCTCCAAAAATGTGATTTACGTCCAGAAAAAGAGGAATTCAAGTTTCCAAAAGCAAAATCTCAGAATGAATGTAAGACAGCTACTCCAACATGCAGCCAACCCCGAGTGGTACAATTCTAGAACATAAAATATAATGAAATATAAAAATAAAGTATAAAATATAATTTAATATATGTAGTGTTAGCTCCTGAGCTAGTAGCATTCAATCCAGAACTATTAAAGTAAGTTGATCACATTTGTTTGCTTCAACCCATATATTGTGCATAAGGACTAACACAAAATATAACTTTACTGCCACATGTATAACTTTTTAGACTTGACTCCTTGTGATTCAGTCTCCACTACAACTGATGTACGTCATCGTCCCAGAATGCATTGCTCTTTACCAGAGCAATGCATTCTGGGACGATGACAAATTAAAGTTCTCTGTCACTGCAGTTTCCGTTATTTTAAATATGACCAAGATGGATTTTCATCCATCCATCCATCATCTTTACCAGCTTCTTCCTTTGCGGGTCACTGGGGTCAGTGGTGCCCATGTCCAGCAGTCACTGCATGAGAGACGGACACCATGGACAGGTCTCCAGTCCATCACAGGGGCACATAGAGACAAACAACTATTCACTTGCTCACTCCATCATCTGTAAAAATGAGGAGGGGGAAGAGAAAATGTGTTTTGTTGTGGTCTTTTTAAAGCCAAACAATTTAAATCTGATACAGGGATTAAACTGATGCTGCTTTCAACCAATAAAGAGAAGCAGAGCCACAGTTTGAGCCAGTCGGAGCAGAGCAGGGCATGTCCAGATGTCTGGTTCTCAGTGAGTAGCAGAGGAAAAAGGTGAACTTTCACCTGCAGTAAGCCAAGGAGGACACCCCGCCACCCTAACAGAACCACCCGCCCCTTCAAGAAGGTGATGACATGCAATCCATGATTGAACGTCTACGTGTTCACACGTGACCATTTCACTGCAGCTAGAGGAGTTACCAGAACTGATGCACCATCACCCCCACCCCCTCCTCCCACACCGTGCCCCGACCTCCTCGGGGCCTTTGTATCTAAAATCTAACTTATTAAATGGTCATGTACACAGTCGACTGTGTACTTTACTAAGGTAAATGGAGTACTTGTATAGCTCCTTTCTATCTCATCAAGATACTTAAAGTTCTTTACACTACAGTCTGTGTCCTCATTTATCCATTCATACAGTACTCTACTAGAATAATCAGAGCTTTATCACGTTCATACACTGATGGTATGGTCGTGTACTTTTACTAAGGTCATGTATACAGTATACTGTGTACATGAAAACCTTTGGGAATTGACCTGTATGCAGGAAAAAGCCCTTGTGGTTTTGCGGGTCAGTAAATCAATGTTGACATCATTAGGTGAAAAATGTAACAAACGTATAATTTTTTTAAAGTAATTTTGACGTTTTCAAGTGTCACAAACAACTTTTAGTTGAATAGACTAACAAATTAAGACTTTAATATCCCTTTAAAACCAGCTTCAGCTGCTTGCTCTGGTATGTTTATTTTATTGTTTTGACATTTTTAGCTATCATTCTGCCGTCTTTAGCTTTTTACTACCGAGTTTTAGCTTTTTCCATTAAATTTCATAAAAATTGTTAACCTCTCAGGACTGCAGTTTCTTCAGACGTTTTTCTTTATCCTGTGTCTCCCTCTAGAGGTGAGGAACGGAGGTGGCACCGATGAGCTGTACGAGGACCACAGCTACGACTACAACCAGTGATTTCACCCCTGCGTGTTCTGAATCTGCTGTAAGACGAGGGGACAACCTTCATGTCCATCACCGGTCACTTCCTGTCCATTCTGGTTCGGTCCCTCCTGGACCAGACGTCTGTCCTGCAGGACTACGAGTAGCACTTCAGGTGTTTCCTCAGCATGCTGGAGTCCAGAATATTCATATTTATATTTGGAGGAACTCATTCTGTGTACACAGGTCTTTCCTTCTCCTCCAGGTGAATTATTCACACGATGCATGAGCGATGAGTTGATTTTTGATCGTTCCTCCCCCCTCTGATCAGCGGGATCACCTGGACTTTGTGGGAGCTGTGCTCCATCTGAAGCCGGACCAACTGCTGAAAACTCTTTGCACAACGTGCTTTCTGTCGTTACTGTGAATGTTTCCTTTTTAAACGTGTTCAGTGATTTTTTTTGTTTGTTTTTTTACCTTGCGTGCAGTGTTATGTTGAGTGTTATAAAATATTAAAAGGTGAGATGCTCCAGCCAATGACATCCTCAGTCTGACCTTTGACCTGCAGCAGGTCTCTGGTGTTTCCATCCTGAACAGGTTTCATCAAACCGCTGCTCTAAATGAACTCTGGCTTTAGGTTTGTGATTCAAGCTCAACTAAAGGGAATCTAAAGAAATCACAGTCTGGGGTCAAACTGCCTTTTGTGTTAGTTCATCTCTGGATGTTTGTGTGCCTGAGAAGTAAACATTAAATGCTCCAATACTGAGTTGTTTTTTTTTATTTCAATTTTCCTGTGGTTTTAATTCTCTTGCGCTGAAAAAAAAAAAAAAAATCAGCTTATATTTATCAGCTGCTGCTAAAGTTTCAGTTTGTCTGTTGGCAAAAAGCACTAAATGGATTTGAATGACACATGTCTGCAGCTTAACAATGTTGGGAGTCGACCCAAATTAAGATGGCCGCCACAGCTTCTTGACAAAAGGTGCAGAGCATAAGATGGCACCATCTTCCTAAACTCGACTTGGTGTCTCAGTTGGCAGGCAAAGGGTTTACTGTAGAGATGAAGTATTCTATGGAAATAAATGTGTCTCAAAAGTAGTCGCACACACAAGAAGATCCCATGTGTACCACAAGATTTTAGAAACGTATGAAGATCTTCAAATGTACAGTACACATCTAAAAAAGTTATGCCATGTCCTCTGGACGTTCAAAAAACAATTAACAAAAAAATAATAATAGAGAAGTTAAAGTTTTCAAAAGCAATAACTCAGAATGAAAGTAAAAGAGCTGCTCCAACATGCAGCCACCACGAGCGGCACAGTTCTAGAAGAATGTCTCTTTCATCAAAGGTGGTGATTTGTCTGGTTTTATGCTGTATATAGTTTTGTAAACCAGTCCAGAATATCTTACTGTATGCACACTGAAAAAATAAATGTGAAATTGTTTTAATATTGGTATCCTAATGCATGCTCAATAATCCAGGTAGAAAACTCTAAAAAAGTTAAATCTGGTCCTCTGGACATTCAAAAAAACCCAAAACAAAGCAAATCAACAAAAAAATGTAGAAACGTTTCGTCTCTCGTCCGAGAGACTTCCTCAGTCTGAGGTGCTGTATTCAGCTCAGTCTCTTAAATAGCACCTTCTCCGAGTGGATCAACCAGTTTTGCTGCTGACAACCAAAACCAGCTGATCACATGCTCAAGAAGGACCATCAGCCTAACAATGGATCATTAGCACACTGATGGCTGTTTACTGTTCACAGAGGGCTGAGTGATACTAGCAATCACAGCATTGTAAGAGGGGGACAGTTGAACCCGGAGGCCTCCACCCCTGTTTAATGATGGACGATTTCTTTTCACAAAGATGGCCTCCTTTACTCCTCTCTCAAACCATCGTTCCTCTCT